TATCTGGAAAAGAAAGCTAGTTTTATGGAAATTTCTGGATGTGGGGAGCAGATACAAGTTTGGGGTCACTGGCTTGGCCAATGAAATCCTGAAATGTATAGCAACAGTGCAGAGCCTGGGACCACAGGATGAATGCAGCCCACTTGGGATCTCAATTCAATGTTCTCCAAATGACTGCTTTCTCCTAGCTGTGCTTCCGCTCCCAAGACCGCAGATTGGTGATTTTCTGGCTTTCATGGGCAATTCTTCCTATTCCAAAAGAATTAGATTCTTCTTCGAAAATTCTTCTCCTGGAACAGGTTGATAATATAGGTAGCAACCTATAAATAGGAGTTCTCGTGGTGCTGTCACGTGCTCAACAGTGAAAAGCAAATGGTTTCCCGGAGATGTAAAGATCCATCTCAGGATTTCAGCCACCTTCTTCCCATCCATACCACGGAAAATATCCATTCATCACAGGTCCCTTCCTTGTAAAACAGCACAGGGCATCTCACAGCCCCCCAGATGTCTTTGGTCTACAGCTCCACATGGCCTTCCCCAGCACAGCCAATGGGGAGGCATGCTGGGAATTGTAGGCCCAAGCATTTGAGTTCTATAAGGACTCCCAGTTGTGAGGCAGCGTGTCAGTGATAGCCCATCTTCATTACTATCTTCATTAAAATCCTAGATCATGAGAGTGACTTTTGCTTTTTGTTTCCAGAATCACAGATGCCAGCGGCAGGAATAAATAACAAACCCACGAGGGACCAAAAGGAGAATCTTATCCAAGTAAAAACTCAGTGTTTCATCAGCGGAATGCATTAAAAGTATTCTATCAAACCGCTGCATCTTAATTGAAATTATCATTTATCCCCATGAATAATGCAACTGAATAATGAGAGGATGCATCCAAAAGCTTATGAAAAATCTGCCTTTGGCAAAACCCTCTTATCTCCCCAATCATCTTGAGCAGAAGTCAGTTGGAATAGCTAATCCAGGAAGGCAAATATGCTGCCGGGAAGCAGCCAGGCAATATGGACACCTTTCCTACGGCCAAGCATGGACAAGGTCATGGGCAAGAGGGCCAGTACCAACAGGAGCAGCACTGGGGACCCTGCCCTGGTCCTGCAGCCCAGCAGGTGTCCAGGGACACAGCCCCACTGGGGTTGCTCCGCTCCACCAGTGAAATCTGCTGGTGCTACCCCCTCTTGTTCTGGCTCAAACAATGGGGCAGCAGTGAGAAGGGGGAACAGTAGCCTGAAGTGCCTGATCCTGCGTAATCTTGGAAACTAAGCAGGGTCAGGCCTGGTCAGAAGTGGGATGGGTGACTTGAGTGTATGATTCTATGATTATTGCTGTCAACTGCCTAGAGAGCTTTGGCTATGGGCAGTATAAAAATGCAATAATAATAATAATAATAATAATAATAATAATAATAATAATAATAATAGAGTAGGGCTGTGTGAGGAATCCTTTCAGGGATGGGAATCCGTTGGATGCTCTGGGCTCGGCTCTGCAGACTCTGCTCTGGGTCAGCCCTTTGCAGCAGCCCAGAGTCCGAGCAAGCACACCCAGCATTTATGGGGTGCTCCCCCGGAATCAAAGCCCAGGGTGCAGGCAGTGCCCCTCTCTGGAGCCAGGAATAGCTGCTGTGTGAGAAGCTGGAACTGGTGCTGAGGAAAGGACAGGTGCTGTCCCACCTCGCAGCAGATACCCTGGGTCATTGCTTCCTGGCTTGTGCCTGCCAAGTGAGCAAGTGGCCACAAGGATGGGAAAGAGGAAGAGGAGCCAGAGCAGCTGGGGATCATGGGGGTGAGGAGGGGGACTCCCTGAGGGAGGGACCCAGTCTAAGTGCGGGTCGTCAATTTATTTATGCTGTTAGCCGTCCAGAGACGTTAGTAACTGGATGGCATACACATTTTATAAGTAAGTAAGTAAGTAAGTGCCAAGGCCCTCAAAAACCTGAAGCAGCAGAGAAGGGCAAACCAGGGGCATGAATTGAATCTTACTGGGAAAGGCTGATTTTTTAAGACAGGAATCCAGTTGTAGTGTGGGGAAGGGAACCTCTCGGGCCTTCCTCTGAGTACCTGCTCAAGGAAGACTTGAAGGGAGACAACCAGGGGAGGGCCTTCTCTGCAGTGGCCCCTCATTTATGAAAAACCTTCCTACTGCAATCACCTGGCTCCAAACTTGTCATCTTTCCAGCACCAGGTTAGGACTGTCCTTAACTGGAGGACTTTAAGATCTGCTGGGATACCCAGGGGCTTGGAGGGATCTTTTACAGAGTTGTTCTTTGTATGTCTCTGTTTTTATGATATTTTAAGATATTTTATGTCTTGTTTTATGGGATTTTGTAAACTGCCCAGAGATGGTGTAGAAATGAAATACATCATAATCATCATCTTCATTTATTTTATTACTTTAACAGACATCCAAGAGAAGGCCTTCTGTTCAGAAACTAGTACTGAGAAGGAAAGGATGGCTCACTCCATAGCTCATGATCTTCTGCTTAGAAGCAAAAGACAACTGTGTTTAGACTAGTCTTCGGCCCATAATTGATTTGGAAATGTGCTGGAATTTTGTGTCTAACTTCTTGCTCTGATTGGTTCACTTGCTGTCCCTGCATGCATTTGTGTTGGGTTAAATTCCTGAATTGGTGGCCCGATGAAGAGGACGCAAGCAACTCATTGGGTGATGAGGTAGGAACATTTAGTCATCTCATCTGTAGGGGCCTATGATTTCCTGAATTAGAATTCCATCCCTACAGAAATCCATATTTCTCTCCTGGGGGAAAAGAGCTTCAGAGCTGATCTCCTTTGGAAAACTTCACCTATTCCTATTACGCCTGTGCGTCTCTGAACCCCAGTGGGCAGAGTGAATAATCCCTTTCTCTTACCCTTATTTTCCTCTAACTGCCAAAATGTGCTTCCTCCAGCTACTTTTCTTTAGGTTAAATAATATATACCCAGCCAGAGCTTTTTTAGGTGCTAGCAATATTTTATCAAGATGTTTCCCAGTCTGATTTAGTATGCACTCAACTGAATGTAGAAGCCATCACTACTATTGATGAGCTTTTGCTCCAAGTTTGAGTAGCTAAGTGCATTGCTCATTTCTGACCAGCATTTCCCCGCTTTTCTTAAGGCATTCAAAACTAATGGAAAAGCCAAAGTGGGCCTGTTATTTTTATCCCATTGCATGGCAGTGATTGATATGTGGCATTTTGCAAGAGATGTGATACAATTTGTCCTCTCTAGAGCATTCACGGCTTGGAAGGCTTTCACTTACACACACACACACACTTCTTTTCTTCTACTGCTGTAAGCCATGTTGAAATGGATGCTTCATCTTTTCTACTCCCTGCAACAAGTGGGCTTTTTCAATCATGAAAACAAATCCACTGTGAGGGAGAGAGGGGGAAATTCCACAAGCAGTAAATAACAACCATTCAGACTTCCCCAATCCAGGTAGTTTGGACTACACTTTTAATCAACCTCAGCCAGCATTGGCAATGTACGGAGTTGTGATCTAAGTTCACTCCATCTTAAACTTCAGGAATTCCTTCCAGTCTCAAGTGTGGTTCAAGACTGCATGAAAGGTTATACATTTTGCTAACAATTTTCCTGATGGACAGCATTGTTTTCCCTCCTAAGCATGTTCCAAGTTCCCCTTTTCACCACCATACTTCAGCATTGGCTATTCTGCTGGGAAGTGTAAACAAAATAGTAAGTCCTTGACCCTTCTCTAAATAAATACTTCTTCCTTCTCTTTCCCCTCCTATATTTTTATTTTATACTGATAATTTTAATTTTATTTTTGTAAATCAATGTATTCTTTGTATTTTTATATTTAATGGTAATTTATTATGTACTATTGTATTTCAATGTATTTTATCATGTTGTAAGCCGCCCCGAGGTTTCGGCAAGGGGCGGCATAGAAATGCTATAATAATAATAATAATAATAATAATAATAATAAAAAAAATAAATCCTCCGACAGGCAGTGTGGCATGCGTGTGAAAGTCCCGAACTTGGGAGGTCTGGTTTGTAGTCCTCATTCAGTCCCGAAAGTCACTGAGTGACTTTGGGCCAGTCACTCACGATCCATCTAACCTACCTCGCAGGGTAGTTGCTGTAAAGATACAGTAGAGTTTTGTAAGCTGCCGTGGGTCCCTCACGAGTGGAAAAATGTGGGATTTAAATAACATGCAATAATAAAACATTAGTTATCGTGTTTTGGCTCACATTTGGAACAAGAAAGTAGAGGAATTTTGCATTTGCCAAGCAGTAAAGATATGCAATGAAAGCACAGCAATAACAGGAAGCAGATCATGGTCAATTTAATACCAAGTGCGAGAGAATCTGCAGCTTTACCTACTGGAGGTTACCATGTATTTCTATTTTTTAAAGCTCATTCTGGTGTGCTAATAGCATTTGAATGCAGCAATAGTCATTTTGTACTGTGTTTTACTGCCCTCTTGCACATTACTAACGCACAACCCAAACGAAGCTTGATGCAACTGCTTCTCATCAAGTCTGCAATTTTTGCAATGTTAATCAACACAGAGACATGCAGAAGTGAAACACTGTTTTCTTCTGTTTACTTGAACAGCCATGCATACATCCAAGCATAGTTTCCCCAAATGTATGCGTCAGTTGTGCTTTTTTGAAATGGACCTAGATGTGAACGACATGCTGCTTTTGAAAGGTAGGTCTGCTGCCAAGCACTTCAAATGCAGAGACGCAGCTATGACACCACAGCAATTTTTTGACCTCAAATCTTAGTCTCTGAAAAATCTTATCGCCATCTAGACACTGTCTGGCAGCTAAAGTAGCCTTCCATTAAGCTTGTTTTACAAGCAGAAGGGCTGGGATATCTGGTAACGCATGTTGTTAAAAATAATTGGCCGTTTATCTTAAATTAATGAAGAACAATGCCAGAAACTAAACTAACCACACAAAGTTTAAAAACAAACACTTTGTCCTTCCGAAATAAGAAGATGCAGTGAAATTTTGTCAACTTACATAGGGAATTGTGTCCAATGTATCCGTGTTGACAATTATAGGAGCAGGGCTGGCCTGGAGGGGAAAGGAAGAAAATAAATTTATAATACTAATCTAGCTCAAAGACCTTCAAGACCTTTGTTACAATGTGGCTTGAGTCTCACCTAGGACAAAAAGCAGCAACAACAATCCATGGCACATCAGGTAACAATTCTATTTTTTCATTATATACACGAACAGGCAATATCAATTTGCACTGGAATTCCAAGTTCCGAAATTCAAATTCTGAAGACTGCTGTGAGATCAAGATCAAGGCACTCACAGTTCAGCAGAATTCACTGTATAATTGTGATTGTCATAGCAGCAGATTTCAATTTCTCTCTGTTTCTCATATTCCAGTTCTAAAGATACGTTAGAAACATATAAACAGAGTGAGTCAGAAGGGGCCTCCTGGGCCATCTAGTCTGACTCCCGGCTCCACCCATGACATGCCCACCATGTGCATGTCCAGCCTATCCTTGAACACTCTCATCAAGGGGGCTTCAGAACCTCCTGTGGAAGCCCATTCCATACTCTGGGGGTTCTAAGTTCATCTCAAAGGTTTCAAATTTCTCCAGTATTGAGTTCATTTCAACCTGAGTTTGGAGAATCTTTAAAAAGAGTTCTTAGGAAAGTTCCTAAGAGTTTTTATGCACATTCTCTGAACGCATCTCTTTTTGTCTCATATACTTTCCCACAACTCATCTCCCTAAAACAGCATATTTTTGAATATTATTCTCCTTAATATGTACATTTTTGATAGGAGAACTCCACTGCAAAATTTGATAGGAGAACTCCACTGCAAAATTTGGAAAAGTGTGAATTTCCAAGAATAACTGAGTTTTGATTCATGTAGTGGTGCAAACCTGCAAAATCTATCTATCTATCTATCTATCTATCTATCTATCTATCTATCTATCATCTATCTATCTACCTACCTACCTACCTATTTTTTAAGAAATGTATAGGCTGTCCACTACTGTCATCTCTGGATGACTTATTATAATCCTAACCAAAATAAATTGTTATTTTATTTTTAATGCAAATTAAGTGGTTTGCATTAAAATTTGAACTAAACAAATTAAGACCTTATTCCCGGGCAGCTGGTCAGGGCTGCCTCGACCTATTTTACAGCCTTTGACAAAGGTCAAGATGATGCCCTGTAGACAAGGTGCAGAAGCTGACTTGATTGGCATATCTTTAACCCTAGTTGTCCACCATGCCAGTTTAGAAGGTCCACAGCAGCAGCTGCCGAAAATTAGGGCAGGCCCAACCCAGCACCCAATTCAGGAAATCTTTATCATAAGCAAATGTCTTATCAAATTCTAGAAATCCATGCTAGTCCCTTCAAAATGCTAATCTCAGATTTTAACTACTAACTCTTGCTGGGTTTGGACCTTTATAGCATCAACAACTACAAACATCTCTTTAGAAGCATCAGGAAAGTGAATATTATTGGACAGCTGTGAGATGCTACCTCAGCGCAATGCCCATCTTGTTGGGGAGTGGTGGCTGAGAAAGAGGGGCTACTTCAGCCCTGCAAGGGAGCTCAGTCTTGTCATAAACATTTTGGTGGAGAGAAGGGTAGAGAAAAAGAATGCAGGAGAGAACCTCAGGGCTGGGGCCCAAATGTCTGCCTCTAGGGCCCTTAGTGCGGAATTCTAGTCTCTCCTCAAATCAGTCTGGCATCATTTGGAAATAAAGAATTCCTGGATGCAAACAACTTTTTTCCCTGTCTGCAAGAGTGTTTTTCATATGAGAATCCCTGGATACAAATGACTCCACCTATTTCACATGGGCATTTGTCAAATGAACACTTGTTGTTGAATGCATGCTTTGTGGTCCATGAATTGCATTACAAGTTCAGAAAGGTACAGACTTCAATGACAGGTTACATCTGGGTCTCTGTTTGACCCAGAAGGTGCAAACTGGATAAATCCTAATAAAAAGGCAGTGAAATTAATTTCTCATACATCACTACTTTAGGGTGTCTTGACTGGGGGAACTAAAAAAGGCAAGCGTGGAGGTTTACAGGCAGTGTGATCAGTTTACAATTCAGTGTGATCTCCAAATACCACAAACACACACAGAGAAAGAGAGAGAGAGTATAAAAATTGATAGCACCTATACAAGCTGCCTATCCTATCATAGAGGATGGAAGCCAGCAAAAGTTCTATTGTATTATGTATTATGTTCTATTGTATTTCAATGTATTTTATTGTGTTGTAACCCGCCCCGAGGCTTCGGCAAGGGGCAGCATAGAAATGTTATAATAATAATAATAATAATAATAATAATAATAATAGCAATATTCCTTCCTTCCTTCCTTCCTTCCTTCCTTCCTTCATTCATTCATTCATTCTAGCAAGCATCTGAGTTGCAATATTATCCAGCAAGATAAAAGTTTATCTAAACAGAGCAGACATCTCCAACTGCATCTGTGTGACGCCTGAGGAATGGAACCACCACAATTACCAAGCAGATCTCTCCCTTTTCTGACATTTCCTGGTAGCAGCTTGAAACAAGAAATGATTCATAAGCATGTCCAAGCAGCAAGCTTGAATCCAATCCACCAAAGGACAACCTAAATGTCAGACAAGAACTGCTGCAGCTTGTGAACCGACCCGTCATGCACCTAACATTTCGGTTAGCAACCTATCACTTTCCCCTGTTTTCCATTGCTTTAAGGGTTACAGTTTTAACTGCCCCAGAAGGTTGGTTAGTGGGACCCACAAGCACCAATAGCCCCCCAGCCACCTTCTGTGGTGTTTTGATGCTCCAAGCCAGCCTCTACCTTTGCAACAGGTTATGCCTCCTTTGCTACACCCACACAAGCAGCCATTGTGCAGTGGAGCCCAGGACTGTTTCTCAAATCACCTGTTGTGACCACTCCATGGCTCAGAAAAGCGGGTTGTCCTGGCTCTATTACATTCTTAATGCCAAGGGTACTTTGTACAAAGTGAATTTCCACAGATATCTGAGCTAACATTCAATATAGAAGAATGCTGTGAGAATGGAGCTGCAAAGAAAGAAGGGCAGTAAACCATTCCAGATTCCTGACACATTTCCCTGTGTGTTCCCTGCCCAAGCAAGTCTGACACAATAAATATTCCAACACAGCTGCCCGAAATTATCAGCAACACAATCATTTCTGACACGAGTCCATGAAGCTGATCAATATCATAAAGTCATCAGTGCTGAGGTTATGGCAATAAAATGATGTAGAACAATCAAATGTAGAACAATCCCTCTGATTAAGGCATAGTGAAATGCTACAATCAGGGGGAAGCATCATGGCCTGTTTATTTATTAGATTTATAGCCTGTCTTTTTCCTTATGAACTCAAAGTGGTGTGCACCATTCACTTCCTGCCTCTCTCAGTCTTACCCACAACAACAGTCTAGTGAGGTAGGCTGGGCTGAGAGTCTATGGCTGGGTCAAAGTCACCCATTTGCTCCATGACTGAGCGGGGACAAGACCCAGGTCGCCTGAGTCCCAGTCTTGCGCTCTTAACCACTACGCCACCCTGGCTCTCCGTTGACCCAGATTCATCCATCCAGGCCCAGAGCTTTGCCTGCCTAAATCTTCAGCTTCCATGTAGCCTGAAGTGCCTGATCCTGCCTAATCTTGGAAGCTAAGCAGGGTCAGGCCTGGGCAGAAGTGGGATGGGTGATTTGAGCGTATGATTCTATGATTATTGTTGTCAACTGCCTAGTGAGCTTTGGCTATGGGCAGTATAAAAATGTAATAATAATAACAATAATAATCTTAAAAGCCTGGGTTTGGAAGCCTATACGTTCTGCCGTGCTTGTGCCATCTCTTTCCTCTCCACATCCCTAACAGCTACATAGCACACCCGTACGCCTTCCCTTCCCTACAATACTCAGAATAAACTGTGCTTATTTGCATTTGGCCCGTGCAGGCGTCTTTTATTTTTACTTTGCACAAGCCTTTGTCAAACTTTGCAAATTTCTGCAGAAAAGGGACAGAAAGAACTTCACATTCAGAAACAAGCAAACAAACAAAAAGGAAAGAACCCAATGTGGGAGAAGGGAGAAGGCCCCATCTAGTTCATACCCACCCACCTCCATCTGAACGCTTCCTTGCCACTAGAAGCCAGTTCTGCAACGGCGCCGGAGCTGAGCGCCCAACCTACACACTCGCACGTTACTCATGCCTCATTTGGTACATTCGACAACCTCCTCTACGCAGAAATATTTCATCTGAGTACGCTGAGCCTCTTTTCAGGAGGTCTCTGAATAGCTAAAGGAGGTGGGAGGCGTGTGTCTATTCACCCTTCAGCCTTAATGAGAGACAGGAAGCCTGGCAAAGGAATTGGCCTGGCACACGCCTGTGTTAGAATTTTGGAGGCTGGGTCAGAAAGCGTGGAATGAAGCTAGGTCCCCATTCAAAAACAGAGGGGAGAATGAGAAAGACATACATCTATTAAGGACAAAATAATAAGAGAAAATCTAAAACTGGTGTGCAGCAATGAAGGGACAGAGGTACAGGCAGGAAAACCTTGGTTTGAATTACACCGCTGCCATGAAATGGGCTCCCTGACTTTTCGGACGGAAAGGCACCGTTGCGAAGTGGGAGAACTGATGGGGGTGCTGCTCTCCTGGGAAAGGTGTGCCTGGTTGGAGAAGGACTGCTGTGGGGCTGGCTAGTCCCAAGAGGTGGTGGAAGAGTGGGGAGCAGTCAGGAGGATAAAGGCAGGGGGGCAGAGGGAGAGAAAGAGCAAGGCTGTGGCTAGGAAAGGAGCTGGAGAAGGACAGGGAGAGAAACAGGGGACAGGTTGTGGGGAGGAACAGTAAGGCTAGAGGTGGGGAATGGAGACAGAAGACTTTCTTCTCCCCCCCAAGCCTTGAACAGCTGGCCTGTGGAAGGTTCAGAAACATGGACACCCTGACACTCTGTTGTTAGTCGCGAAGTTGCGTCCGATCCATCGCAACCCCATGGACAACATTCCTCCAGGCCTTCCTGTCCTCCGCCATCCCCTGGAGTCCACCTAAGCTCACACCGACTGCTTCAGT